TTTCTACTGAGTGACCACACTGTGACACTCTAATAAATATTTGTGTAGCTTAAGGTACTTTGGTTGAAAACAGAAAGCAATTGTGACACAACAGGAGAAACACGACACGTGGGCAAGTCCAGACGTTCCCACCAAAACCACCAAGCCTCTACGGTGCAGCCATGGAATGGGACGTCACAGAACAGTGCTTACCATGATGCACTAAAGAATTGAAAAAGTGTGTGTATACTCACACAAAACCAGAACATCAAAAATATTATCAGTGGTTACTTCCAGTCAAGGTAGTAAGATTATCAGTGATTTGTGTTGCATGATAATTCCTTCTTTTGTGCTTTTCTATTATAAATTTTCTACAGTGAATAAATATTTTACCTAAAATAAAATTTAAAAAAGCAGCCGTGGCTAAAATTAAACTAACAAACCAAAAAGAAAAAGGAAAGGAATTTTTTGGAAGGACATGGGGTACTTCACAGACTATAAAGCAAAGCTGAACACATTAGCAAGATGGCAGGCTAGGAGGTCCCAACCACTGGTCCCCCACAAAAAAACCCCATAATTTGACAACTATTAATGAATAAAAATAGCTCTGGGAAAGCTCCAGAGTACATTAAGAAGCTCCAGCAGCCCAATGGAGCACAAAAGCCAAGGAAGGCCACATAGATAAGTGAAGAAGCATTTTATCTGCATCACTCCATTCCACAGGCAGGCACAGCTTGACACCAAAAGGGATCCCCTTGGCTGTGACGTCCCCCTGTGGAGGGAAAGGAGAGCAAACGGACCCTAGCAGCCCTCACTGCCGCTGTGGACACCCACAACCTTCACCACTGAAGAGCCCCATGATCTTTGCTGATCTTACAGCAATTGAGTGCAAACACTGAAGCAGGGCAATGAGTAGCATCACCAAAGAAGCACAATACATTTTTAGTAATTGACTCTCAAAGAAATGGAGATCTATGAATTGCCTGACAAATAATTCAAAATAATTTTTTAAAAATGTATCTTTATTGATTTCAGAGAGGAAAGGAGAGGGAGAGAGAGAGAGAAGCATCAATGATGAGAGAGTCATTGATCGAGCCCACAACCCGGGCATGTGCCCTGACCGGGAATCGAACCCCGATCTTCTGGATCCTAGGTGGACGCTCAGCCGCTGAGCCACGCCTGGCCTGGCCAAAATAATTTTTTTAAAGAAGCTCAGAAAGCTATAAGATAACATAGAGACCATTCAAAAGAAGGAAAACAGTACATGAACAAAAGAAATTCAACACAGAGAAATCATAAAAAAGAATCACACTAATTCTGACGCAAAAGAATACAGGAAATGAAAAAAAATGCGATATAAAGCATTTTTGGTAGTATGTGATGTTAGAGAAGTAGGCAAGAGCTGGATCATGCAGGGCTGTGTAAGTTATGCTAAAGAATTTGGATTTTATTCCATGAATTGATAGAGGAGTAACGTCATCTGTTTGACATATGCAAAGCTTGTAGAAGGCAGGATGATGGAAGTAATTTAGGTGAACAATTTTGGTTATTACTGAGGTGCCAGTAATAATGAATGAAGGAATCCCAGTTTATTTTGGTTATTATGAATAATGCTACTATGGGCATTTATGTAAAAGTTTTTGTGTGGACATATGTTTTTAATTCTCATAGATATAGACCTATAAGTGGCGTTTTAAAGGCACAACCTTAAAAAAAGTTTTGTCTTAAAAATATTTTTCACTTAACTCCATAACATATCTGGTTTAAAAGAATACATTAAGTTATTGCCAGTTACTTATTAATCTTCTAGTTGAATTATCTTTCTCTAGAAATATGAGTAACAGTGGCCCTGTAGGAAATGTTCCCAGTACCTGTGGCTCTGGATCCTCCCCTACACACACACACACACACTCTCTCTCTCTCTCTCTCTCTCTCTCCCCCTCTCCCTCCCCCTCACCACCCAGTGCATGGGCGCAGGCCAGTATTTCAGCAGCATTCTGGTGGGGCATTGGGAGAGCATCTCTCACCAGGTGGTGGGTTACCTTTGTGTAAATAAATGTTGCTTCTTTCAGGAAGAATCATAAAATATTGATACTCAAGGACTAGGCAGGATTCTTGGAACTCATCTAATCAATCCCATCCCTTTGTTTTATAGATCTTAGAACTGAGGGGACAGGTCCAAGAGGTTAAAATGCTCGCCTGACTTCCCACAGCTGGTTAGAGAGCTTGGTTAAGAAGCCAGATCTCTTCTGACTCCTAGTGTAGTCCCCTGACTACTAAACCTTACTTTGTCTCTGTTGTCTGAATTTGAAGTCATAAAACAAAAAATAAACATATTCATGTAGGTGGCATTTTCAGATAAAAGTTTACAGAAAATGCTTTCAGAGTGTTATAGGGAACAGCTGACTATCAGCCTTTCACTTATTAATTCACAGGGGCAAGTGAATAGGAGTATTAAATATAAGAGCATTAAAGAAATGCTTTCACTTTAATTTCTCTTTTGTTCATTCTTAGGATATTTTTTCTATTGATTTTTAGAGAAAGTAGAAGGGAGGGAGGAGGGAGGAAGAGAGAGAAACATTGATGTGAGAAAGACACATTGATGGGTTGCCTTCCACATGCGCCCCAACTAGAGCCCGGATTGAACCTGAAACTCGGGTACGTGCCCTTGACTGGAATCAAACCCACAACCCTTCCGGTCTGTGGGCCGATGCTCTAACCACTGAGAAAAACTGCCAGGGCAAAAAATGCTGCCACTTTTAATTTGTGCATAAGGAAGAAAGAATTATAGGTGTTTGTAAACAGTCATACACAAAGGTCAGCTATTCCTGTTTTCCCTTAGGAGTCAGCCTCTTTTCCTTTTCATTACATTCTGACATTTACATACCAGTAGTTTAAGAGGGGGATAGAGGATTAAGTGTAATTATATTATTCAAGTGTAGTCAAATTACGAAATGGGTTATGCAGTTAATCACTTTGATCTTCTAAATGTCATGCTGGATATAGTTTATCCCTCACAGTGAGTCAGAAGTGGGAATGGGCTCATTCACTGTTTCCAGTAAGTGGCTTTCCACTAACAGGTGCTGTGACTGGTGGGAAAGGGTAGGACTGGAATGCACACTTACTCGGAGATCTCAGAAGTGTGCCCTTGGGGCCTTACGTAGGACTGTCCATGAGGCCCCGGGCAGCTGAGAGCTGGCAGCACAGCCAGCCTCCAGCGGAAGAGGCCCTGGAAGCCCCTCTGAGTCCGGGAACACTGCTCCCGGGCACAGAGCCGAGGACAGGTGCTGTGTACAGCCCTGTGGTCCAGGCGTGGGTCTCAGCTCCGCCACCGTCAGCGTGAGCTTGGGCACATCACCTCAGGATCCGAGTCCCTCATCTGTAAAATTGGGAAGGGGGTGGGGAGGTGACCAAATTTTGTACTTTAACAATTATTTTGGCTTTAAAATGCGATAGCTCTACAGCCTATTGGCTTAACATGTCAATTGTATTGGATAGGAAGTCATACATAAAGAGCTCAGGCCTTAAATTTATACAGAACCGTCTTTGAGTCCTTTGTGGTATTTGGCAAGTTATTTAATTTCTGTAAGCTTTCATTGTGTTATACTTAAAAGGGCAATGATAATAATAGTATCTAACTAACTCATAGGGCTATTGGGGGAAAATGACATTATGAATTCAGAGTCTTCAGAACAGTGCCTGTTATATCCTATGATTCAGTAAATATTTGTTAGTAGTAAGTAGTATTTTTATTTTCTTTAGGAACATTTTATCCTGATGATATACTCTTCCCTTTTGAAATAAATAAATATAATTCCAGCAAATTTTAGTAATATATAAAGTATGTGGACTACAGTTTTTAAAAAACTATTATAATCTATTAACTCTAAAGTAAACTGGGCAGACCCATAATTTAGATAATTGAATTATAGGTATGATGGGGGAAGATGTGGGAGGCAGAGATGAAAATTATGGAGCAAGTGAAAGAAATCTGACTTATTTTCTCCTTTGCTTTATTGTTGTATATAACCTTCTCTTTATGTATATTTGTTCTCTCAACTTGGAGATAGAATCATCCAGGGAAAATGTATCCAAGTTAATAGCTAGTTAAGTGGGGCCCTATATTATTTTTTAAGACAATATTATTATTGTTTTGTTATCATGTAGAAATAAATAGTAAATTATCCAACTCCATGTAAGCTGCCTCCTTGTAATTTCTGCTGTTATTTTTGTAAGTACTATTTTGGTGTGAACCAAGGACTTAGAAGCGTGAGAATTTGGAGAACAAATACTCAGATATTTTTCCTCAATTAGGATATTAGTATGAAACTATCACTATTCAATAGTAGTTTGCTGAACTATCTGAAGGAATTTGCTTAAGATAAAATATTTACAGAAACAGAACCAATTCATGAAATACTATGAGAAAAGTTGGCAACTTTAAGTTTGATGGTTGATATATATCTTGGAGAATTATCCAGTTTTCCAAAGAAGAGGTAAGCCATCTGTGGATGTGTGACATGATAGTGTAGATGTGATTTTTTAAAAGGTTTTTTTGTTGTTGTTTTTTAAGAGAGGGGGGAAAGGAGAGAGAGAAAAAAACATCCATGTGAGAGCAAGACATCCATCGGCTGCCTCCTGCATGCCCCCTATTAGGGATGGAACCCGCAACCCGGGCTTGTGCCCTGACCAGGACTGAACAGGCCGCCTTTCAGTGCACCCCACGATGCCCAGCCAACTGAACCACAACAGCCTGGGCAAGATGAGATTCTTAAAGGACATCTCTGAATACGTATGTCCTGAATGTTCCCCACCTTCTCATCACCATCTTACCTTACTTCACTATTGAAAGGGACAAATAAGAGAGGAATCATTTTTGATTCCTCAATCTCCTTAGCTTCTGATGTGAACAATCAAATGCCTTCTTGTTTCCCTGAAAAAGTTACTTTTTACTACATTGTAATTTCTGGCCAGGGTAATGTTCTTCAGTCTCTAATGTTTCTTTTATGTGTCTTTTATAGGAGGCCAGTCGTAAGAACTCTATACCCATCCTTCTAACAGAAGACTTAGAGAGAGACTCACAAAAACCATCTCCAAAAACCAAGGTAAGTTACATCTGGTCATCAGACCTCCACATGAAACATTTAGCAAGGCTCTGTATGTTCTTGTGTTCCCCTCAGGCTTTTTTTTTTTTTTTTTTACCTG